TTTTTGATTTTAAATGATTATAGATTTTTTTTAAAAATACAAAAATTTTTATAAAATAAATTATTAAAAATTTTATTCTAAATTTATTTATTTTAAACTGTATATATATTGGATATAAACTCGCTGATTGTAAGTTGTAGTTAATATACTTTATTAAAAAATATTTTTTCCATTTGTATTTGTAATTTTTGATAAAAAAAAACTTCCAGCATCTTTCAATTTGCTTTTAAAGTTTTGCAATTATTCTCTTTGCTATTTACAATCGTAGAAGTTTCAATTAAACTCTTAAAAACACACACTTAATGCTTCTCTATTTTATAACTCAACTCAATGATTTAATATTTTTTTTGTAATTGTAGCATTTAGAGTTTATTAAATTTGTTCATCTTCAAGTTTCTCTTGCATTCAAAATAAATAAATATTATATCTTATACTGTATTTTATAAAAACTGTTATCTTCTACATAGGTTCCGTTTATGCTGCTTCCTTGGCTGCAGTGTCACGTGTTGAACAAGCCTTAAGTGAAGCTGCTAGTTCGCTCAGTTCATTTACGCCACGACCTGGACCACAGCGACCTTGGATGATACAAATTAAGGTAAATTTATATATAAGTAACTGAAAACTATCTTATACTAGGGTGGTTTTAATGGGTTAAAATCTCACACCGTGGCTTTCGATGCTTTCCACTTATAGAAGACTATTGTATTTAACTCCTTTTCGAGTTTATCTCGAAAAGCCTCTTGAGTTTAATTACTTTTTCTATACAAAATCCATACAAAGATGCGCGAAACAGATCTTTGAAGTGGATGACTTAAGCAAGACTTAAGTTACGAAACAGTTGTTTATTACTTTAATTTTGAAGCTGATAACTTGGTAGCATTATTTGAAATCATGTGATTCCTTTACTGTTTTTTTAAATTGAAATAAACTAGAATTTAGATGTGTAAATAAAATTTAGTTCTATGAAATTCATTCTTCTAAGTATATCCAATTTTTTTATAAAATATTAAAGTCAAGTACGGCTTTGGGTCAGTTGGTTAAAGTGCGCTGACTCTGAGCTTCAAATTTAGCAGGACACGAGTCCGATTCCTGGTACTTGCATTCTCAAAAAATTATTTACGAATACTTAAATACAACAATTATTCCTAAGACCACTGATGACGGGTATTTGGCAATACTCGAAACAGCTGTTTGGTCAACCAAAAATTCAATTAATTAAAATAATAATAAAATAAATTTTTGTTGTTGTAGTTAACTACTATTCGAAAAAACCTTTTTTAAAATATTTTTATTTAAATAATCGCAGATCAAATGCGCTCTAAGAATTAATCGATTGCGCTAAGCAGGAGGAACTTGTGAAGAACTTCGTAGATACATAGATTTGAATGCAAGCAAGCGGAGAGTCAGTAGCGAGCAAAAAATTTGTTGCATGCATATCACTTGAAAATATTTTAGTTTGAAACGAAAATGTATGTATCATGTTCAAGTCAGAAACAAGAGTAACTTAAGTTATGCTTAAGTTAATTTTATAACTTAAGTTGTGAGTAAGTTTACTCTATGACTTAAGTTATACTTAAGTTAACTTTATGAATTAAGTGAAAATTAACTTTATGAATGTTTAAATCAACTTTATGACTCAAATTATGCTTACATTTTTTTATGACTTGAGTTGTACTTAAATCAAATGTTGACTTTGATTATGCTTAAGTCAACTTTATGAATTAAATCGTTCCAAAATAATGACTGTAAAGTAGGCTCTAAGAGGAAATATACTTAATTACGATCTTAACAGTTGTAAAAAATAAGCATAGAACTAACTCTCTTGATTGAAATAAAAAAAATATAGAACCTTAAAAAGGTTCACTCAGAAAGGCTGCACTCATTGCAATAGTGGGTAAACGTGTTGTCTTTTAGAAAGTATAAGACTATCAGCAACAAAACTTTTTTAGGTATCAAGTTCTAGCTTTTGATATAAAACTTTTAGTCTTATTTAAAAAGCCAACTGTGGACATAAGACATTTCTATCATAATCAGTCGCAATCCACAAATTCATAAATGATATCTTTGCGACTTGTCTTTATTTGAAAACATTCTTCTATTTATCAGATCACTGTAGTAGTTTTCAAACCGAAATAGGATCTATTAAGTTGGGGTGGCACCTTTTACCTTAAAGCCGACTTCAAACCAGAAGGACCTCCAAAAAGACTGCAATGGTCAATGTATAAACAAAGCTAAAGGCACGACTTCCGCATTCAAGTGATAGTGAAACAATCTTACAAGTCTCTAAACTTAACAAGTCCCTAAATAATAACAGCTTTGTTAGGTCTGTAAAAAAAAGACACTGAAGATTTAGAATATTTGAGGTGGAGTGATACTGAATGAAATATTAAATAAAGTTTTCTTTTTTATTATTACAGATTTGGCTACTACTCGCCGATGTTTACCTTAATATTGATCAGCCAAATGAAGCACTGCATTGCATACAAGAAGCGTCACAAATCTATCCACTTTCACACCAAATAATGTTTATGGTATGTATTTAACAATGTGATATATTTAATCAAATTTATTTTATTAAATCTCTTTTGTTTTTTTTTATAGCGAGGATTAATTTGTGTTTACTTGGAGCAATGGAATGATGCTAAACAATGTTTCTTTAATGCTGTAGCTGCCAATCCAAATCATACTGAAGCTTTACGTTCTTTAGGTGAAACACATCATGTATTGGGTGAACCACGTTTAGCAGAAAAATTCCTTAAAGATGCTGCTAAATTAGATCCCAACTGTCCGAGAATTTGGTTAGTTTATCTTCTAATTATAAAGTATTTGACTTATAGCTTATTTTCTGCTTTCATTCCAAATAGGTTCAGTTTAGGTAAAGTTATGGAGACATTGGGTGATTACGCTGCCTCAGCAGATTGTATGGCTACAGCTTTACAACTTGAACCAACTTGTCCAGCTCTTCCGTTAACCTCAATAGCACTGACCTTTGATTGAGGAAAATCAACAAAATTATACGTTCATATATGGCATGTATTTTAAGTATTTTTATGGGATTAAGTTAATTTTTATTTACTGCAGGGAAAAATTATTCAGTTTAAGATAGAAATTATTTGTGCGTACGGCTAGTAAAATTAGTACATATTTTATATAAATTATAACTTAAAGCATTTAGTTTGTTCTTGTTAATATTTAAACATATTGTTGTAGTAATTCTCTAGGGAATTCTAAAAAACCTTGTTAAATGTAGCAAACAAAAACACAAATAGCGATATAATCAGCAACACATGTTTAAAGTTAGCAGTTGTTAGTTGTTCATGTTACTTCATATGTTGCAATATTAGCTGAAGATAGTACAGTTATAAGTCATGCATATAGTATGAATTTAGTTATTTTAAACATAATATATGTAACAAAGTTTAATGCTAATATTAGCTTTATAATTCCCTATAGTTATTTTAAATATATGATAATATTCTGTAATTTCCTCCCATTTATGTTAGTATTAACACTTTGCTCAGTTTAACTGGCTATAACTTTTGTTCATATAACTGGCATATATGAAATAATACAATTTAGATATCTTCTGAAGAAATCTATAAAATAATATAAAAGCAATATTATACGTTTAGCATTGTATTTAATTAAACATAATAAACTCATGATTCCTATCTATTTTTATTATATTATCTCTTAAATGCAATAGACTCTCGTAAACCCCGGTCCTTTATAACTGGTTTTGACATGATCCGATAGAAACTTACAACTTGGAATCGTGTTTGAACTTGCATAAATTTATTTAATAATGTATGTCTTGTATACATATACTATATATATATATATATATATACCCGTGTTGTATTGAAGTTTACAGTATTTTGTTATTTTATTTTTTAATATATTATAAATATTGGGTTAAGTAAGAGTTTTAGATAATCGTAACTATATTATTTTATATGAATTATGCCTTCGTTTGCGAATATTCCTTGATGTAGAAATATTGATTCCATGTGAATATTCTATTATATTGAAATATTCCTTTGTAGGTGAATAATTCTTTAATTAGAAATATTCCTATGTAATTACCTTCTGCTCAAAAAGTATCCGGATTTTGTTGTTTGTTAACTACTCCTTAAGTAATAGACCTTTTTTAAAAAAAAATTTTTTGTTATGACATATGGTCAAGAAAGGGTGTATAATATATACCCAATAACCCGATTTTTTTTTGTGCACATACTTTAAATAATTTTAATAGATGTAATAAATTAATTTATTTATGACAATCAGTATGAACAGTCTTTGTGTAAAGTGTCTTCGTGAATTAATTTATATCATTTTAAACTAAACACCAGTGTGAATTTTTAATTACTTAACCCAATATTGTTATTTTTGGAACCTTAAAAAAACCTAATATACATCTCCAAGTTTAGTTCTTCGCTGAAAAATGACTTATGTCCTTTGATCGTCAGAGATGAGTCTTTCATTAAGTACGATAAATCTTTAAAAACTAATTAATCCTGTTTTTTAGCTGAATGTATTTGTAAATATACATATAAAAATATTTATTAAAAATTTATAACAAAATAATTGAAATTAATAAAAAAAACTAATAGAAAAAACCAATTCAAAGATATATCGTTCCTACTGAAAGACATTTAATTAAATAAAATCAACTAAGAAACAATAATAATATTTAAAACAAATTACATAAATTTATTTTAATAAATGACATTATTAATAGTACTCTTATAAATCAATATGTTATTTAAAAATATATCGACATATTCAGGAATTATGATTATATTTTTTATTTTTAAATATCATATATATATTATGATTAATTATTATAAAAATTATATTATTAAAAATTATAAAAATATATGTATAATATTATTTATTGAAAATATGTTACACATTTGTTAATATATATAATATACAAAATATAATTTATCAATACATTTTACTAAATGTATGAAATAATTTTCCAAAAGTTTAATATATATATTTTATTTATTTTTATATTTATAATTTTTTTTAATATATATTTATGTTTATTATATTTTTGTTAATTATATTATATATAATATATTTATAATATTTTTATAAATTATATTATAATTATATTTTTGAAAATTATATTATATGTATTATATTTATATTTTTGCGAATTAAATTATTATAAATATATATATAACTTTTGTAAATTATATTACATAAATTATATTTACAATATCTTTGGAAACTTTATTATATATATTATATTTATAATATTTTTATAAATTATCATATAATTATAATATTTTTGTGAATTATATTATATATATTATATTTATAATATATTTGTAAATTATATTATATATATATTTGTATATTATTATAAATTATATTATATTTATATATTTATAAATTATATTATATTTATATATTTATAAGTTATATTATATGTATAATATTTATAATACATTTGTAAATTATGTGATTGTAATTATATCAAATAATTTATAATTCATTTTATTATTAAATTAATTTTTAACGTCCACTTTGAGAAAGACGTAGATGAAGAATTTAATTTTATTTTATTACAAATTTTAATTTTTTTAAATATTTATTTATTAATTTTTATAATATTTATATATATAAATATATAATAATTTATGTACATATGTTTATTTACATACGTGCAAATCTACTTACATATGTACACATATATAAATTTAAAAATATAATTATTATTTTAAAAGTATCTAAGATTTTAATAACAAATTTATATTATCTACTTATTTGAATTATTGTATATAGATAGTTTCATTATAGTGAAATAGCAGTATTTAAAAAAAATTATTGTATTAAATATTCGTACAATATTAAGTAAAAACTATGTAAAATACAAAACAAATAATTTCTTTTGTTTATTAATTTTAATAAGCCATATCAAATTTAACATTTTGAGCTTCATTCGTATATATTAGTAAAATTTTACAAATACGTAAATTACAATTTGATATAATTTATTTATAAAAAAAATTTTTAATTGGCTAATGTTCTTCCTTTAAATTTAATAATAAAATAAAATCTAAAATTCAAATATTTATGTAGATAATATATATTTAATATAGACTAATATTGAATTCACTTTTTTAATTGTTTCTATTTTTTGGAAAGGCTTATGTGAATAAAAAATAAAAAAATTGTAAATTAATTTTAGTACTATACTGAAATAAATATAATAAACTAAATAATAAAATAAAATACTATATAAAAATAAAAATTAATTTAAAATTTTTTATTCACATAAACCATTTTAAAAAACAAAAATATATATTTATGTTTATTTTTTTTTATATACTTTATATTTTTAATATCTTTTCATAAACACAATATTTTAACTATATAAATTAAATTCTTTATTTTAATAAATTAAATTCTTATTATACTTTTAACTTTTTTTATATATATATATATAATCGTAAATATGTTGTCTGATATGGTGGTCTTTCCTGTTGGTCACAATGGATTTTCACTTCCTTATTTATCCTTATCACTTCTGATTATTCGCCATGTTACTACTATATTCCTTGTAAACATTTAAAAAATAAAAACTAGGTTTATTCCATGGAGTTGAGTAATTTAACAGATATTTTGCCTGTACCGAGTGACAAAAGATTACAGTGTTTGTAATTTAATAACACTTCAGCATCCATTGATCACAGCTTTAATAGCTGCCTGAATACTATATATGTTATATCCTATATTATGGATCGAAAGATGCTAGTACATGTTTAAATTAATATAATCAAGATATAATTCATATAAAGTAATATATTAATAAGAATATTTATATCAGTGACGACGCGTGCCCTATCTGGAAGGGTGTGCGGCCCTTCTATAATGTTGTTTTTACATGTACCACTTATATTAAAATATATGAGATGTTTTATTAATAATAACTATATTATGTTAGGCAACAATATATTCGTAATATTATATTAACAATTCATTAACAAAATAACATATTAAACAAATTAAATTAATAATTTATATATAAATTTAATATTATATCAAAAACAAAACTTTTCATATACTTG